GAGAGAGTCCCAAAAAAAAAAATGGGGGGAGAGAGAGAGAGAGAGAGAATAAGGGACATTTTTGGGGATCCTAATTTATTATGCACAGTTTAATCAATTTGAATGTGAGACATGATTTTTCAATTGTGCCCTTTGATCTATATCAAAGCTTAATTGCTGTCTAAATTGCAAACGGAGAGAGAGAGTCCCAAAAAAAATGGAGAGGGAGAGAGAGAGAGAGAGAGAGAATAAGGGATGTTTTTGGGGATTCTAATTTATTATGTACAGTTCAATCAAATTGAATGCGAGACATCTTTTTTCAATTGTGCCCTTTGATCTATATCAAAGCTTAATTGCTGTCTATGTCAATGTGAAAAGAATTCGTGGGTCTATGCAAAATAAAAGCTATTTTTCATGCTGTTGCCAAGCACGTGCCTACTTATGGCCACTAAATTTTTTGGTGCTTTCCATGCACCTTTTCTTTTGGATATCTATTTATTGTATTTGTAGGTTCCATCATACTTGTTTTTTATTTTATCAATGTCTCTTTTGAGGGTACAAATGAAATGTTAGAGAAAAAATTGTAGTGTGACTCAAATTTTGGGACATGAAAAAAAGTTGAACTATGATAATAACAATGGGACCGAGAGGTACTATTTTGAGTAATTTCTAACAACCTTCCCGGACGATTGATGAGGAGTCGAAATAATTGATGGATGAGGTGACTGAGCATGTGCAGCTTGTAATGTTCATCTGCATTACAATTGGGCTTAATTACAATTTGCCCCAATAGATTCTAGTCTCTGTAAATTTCAACTGCTTATATTTCAAATTGCATACACCGTTGTCATATTTCTTTTGACCACAATACCCATACAAAAATATATATACGTTATTATATTATACTCTTTTTGTTTTTGTAACTAAAATAGTTTTTGTTCAATTGTCTTAAACCAAACATACTTCATTCTTAATTGTTTATTTTTGAAAATCTTTTATATGTCTTCAAAAATTAGAAAATCTCTCACAATTTCACAAAAAATTCTTCATTTTAAATTCGTTATTTACTTTTTTTTCCCAAATTGCAGCTAGCTCTTCAATTTGATTTCTCTCCACGCCATATCATAGATAGCCCCATCACATAATTTTTTCCAAAATTTACAATATTAATTAAATTAATTAAATAAATTAAGAGACGAATTTGGAAGCAGATTGTCAAGATTTGCACATGACAGTATACACAGTAACACATATATGCTTTATACAAGTAATGTTCATCTTACTTATATGACTGTAAGTATTGTGTTTTTTTTAATTAATATAATCTTTAAATAATTTTGATTCCTATCTTCATTTTGCGTGTTTTTAAGTGTATCAGTGTACTTTGCTATTGTAGGGACTACTTTCAATTTGTTTTAAATTTTCTAGTTTTTATACATTAAGTCATGTTCCACATTAACTTTTCATTTGAATTTTTACTAAAAGTTAATTTCAACACAAATTTTCTTCCAAGAAACAACACAGCCATTTTTTATGGGCATTAACATCATTTTTGGAAGACAACAACATGTTTAATAGTTGGCCTGTCGTCATGAAGGGCAAATTTTTGCTTTATTCCAGGGAATGGAGAAAGGCTGCTGCTTCCCTAAGTTCTAAAATATTAGGTTTTTCTCCTTAAAAGATTGAAGATTTTCAAAAGATTCTTTGTAGATTCAAACTTTTATCCCCATAAAAACTTGAAAATATTTTATGGTTATAATTCTAAGTTTTATGCTAAACCTTGCCCCTTGAAGTAAATTTTCTTATCTCAACTAAATGTTCAGGTTCAAGGGATAAACTGCAGCATCCCACATCGAACTTGGAAGAGGAAAGGAATGGGTTTAAGTACTTCGGTGTTTGGACTATTACGTAATTTGGATTAACTATTTTGGATTATTGAATTTTGGTCCAAAATTTACTTAGGTCAGTGCTTGGACTTGGGTCTTGACAGTTGGTATCAGAGCAAACATCTCATCGAGCCGGAGTCAGTGGAGCGGTTATGGCTCCGACTACACAAGGAGTTAAGTGCTGTACAAGACTAATTGCCACGTTTGATGGGGTCATTTCTAGAACTTATAGGACTAAGTACCACGTCGGGCGAGGACCACATCTAGAGCTCGAGTATAACCAAGTGGACAGCCTTGTGAGAATACAAAGTCTTAAAGGTGGGGAGGATATAGCATCCCATATCGTATTTGGGTGCTTAGGTTATTAAGTAATTTGCGTTAATCATTTTGAGCTAGTGAATTTCGGTCCAAAAATTACTTTGGCCAATGCTTGGATCCGAGTCATAAGACTCATGACATAGACTGTCGTAGTCTAACTCTTATTTTGATATGACAAACATTATCTGATGAAATTTGTTTAGACTCTGCAAGATACTTTTAAACGAAGAGATTGTTGTGCTCGGTGTGGAAGATAAGGTGACAACGTAAAAGTGATTGAGGAAAGGCTAATGTCGTGGGTGTTGTAAAGATAATATCTTGTAATCCCTAAATCTTTTGCTCAATTGTTGTGATAATTTTGGATTATGATAATTTTGGATTCTTATGTCATCCTCTAATCCCTAGGTCCATGTGTCTATCAATATATGAGATACTCCACTTAAGTTTATTGAAAAGTTGTCAAAAAACATGCTTTGTTGTCAAAAGTTACTCTCTACTAGTTTTCTAGTGTATAACTTTTTTGATAAAATAGAAGCCAATATTATGAATAAATTTGTTGAAAATCATCCAGCATAATTTGCTTGACAAAGAAAGCTGCACTAATGGTAGAAAATACATAAATATATCACAGATGTATTTGATATGAAAAATCATTAGATTTAAAAGGGAGCTATAAAATAAGAAAGATTACATTGTGTCAAATCATACTCCATAAATATTTATGCATGTATATTCCTTTAGATATGTTGTCCAACTAGTTCAAGCGTAAAACTAATGCTGAGATCTGATGAGAATACCCATGAAATTCTAGATCTAACACATAGATCTAAAAAACGTCTTAGATTTGAGAAAAAAAAATAACAATAAACAAGACAAAAATCCCACTAGGATAGCCTACGAGAGAAAAACTCTCACTAGGATAATCTAAGATAAACTTTATTAAATATAAAACAAAAATAGAGGAAGTGGAATGGAGACCTTAATTTGATACCAAGATCTTCCTCCGACAAAGGAAGAACAGTGAAGAAAAGGTTGAGATTAGAGAGCAGGCAGAGAAAATAGATGTTTTTCTATTTTTGATTTAAGAGAAAATTGTAATGAAGGAAATGAACAAAAGAGAGGATTTGAAAATGCACCCGAACCTTTCTAGCATATAACTTATTATTATGAATCTTCTTGAGTCGATCAAGTGATTTTCTAATGAAATCAAAGATAACGCTTTGATAAAACATCCTGATTGATTTCTTTCCAAATTTAAATCCTCATTCTGTGACCATCAAAATTAAATTTGATTTTCTCATTAAAATTTGGAAATTTAGATTGTTTTCAAATTCAAATTGTTGTTTATAGTCATCTATTATGTTTAGATTCAATCTTTACCAAACAACAATATCTTTCTCAAATCATCAAGCATAAAAAATAATTCTTTCCTTGTTTCTTCCAAACAGCTAGTTATTGAAATGGCTAGTTAGTTCAATATGTTCTATAAAATTTTTTTTTTCTTTATTTCTAGGGTTGGACTTTATGAAGTCTTGAGTGAAAAACCTTCTACTGAGTTGTTGTATTTGCAAACAAAAATCTTTTTTCTTACAAAAAAGTTATCTAGAGAGCTCTTTAAACTTTAAGCTATTTTGTGCAAAGTTTTAGGCAATTTGGTAGAGTTGTAACCTGCTAGTATCGGCCTTTTGTGGCTTGATTTTCTTTGGCATTATGGAAGTTTGTAGTTTGAGTTAAATCTTCTCTTGTATAGAGAAGTTGCTTGTTAGAATATTTCAATACGTAGCACCACTGAAAAGAAGGCAATTTACACAAAGTGGAATGAGTTTCTTCATTGTAAATAAGGAGCTCATCAATATGCAACATCATATTGTAAAATCCCAAAGAGAGAAAGATCTTGAATTGTCAACACAGGCATTCCACTAGTGCTAAACTACTGTAAACAACTCACATTTTTATTGTTGTTGTTACTTTTTAGTACTTTAATCCGATTCATATATTTCTATTCAAATTATTTGTTTGGGGTATTTGTTGAAAAAAGGTCAACCTATCCCAAAAATTTCCATAATTGGCAAGGCATATCAACCTATTCACCCTCCATTAGGTTAGCCTCTTTGGGACAGCAGATTTTGATTAAGCCTTTTGTTTACGTGAACAAAAGCTTTATTAAATTGTTAATAATTTTTGCACACACTATTTATATTCGTGTACATTTCTTTGAATTGGCAAAATACATTGCAGCAGTATACAAAAACAAAAATGGATGTGTCAATCCATATATTACAGTAATTTAACACGAGTAAAAGCTATAGTAGGAACTCGGAATGTAACTAGTAAAAATTAAGGATAATAACACTTTGTCCCTGCCTCTCCTGAGCTTTAGGGATAGTCACACTTTACCACCCTCAATCTTAAAAATATACATTTCACCTCCCAGGAAGACTCATTACAACAAAAATGACCTTTAACGGCATTTAAAAGTGTCAGATATATAATCTAAGCTAACACTTTGTCTTTCCTCACACCTCGGACAAATGTTGTCCCTTCCAATGTGGGGATAGATTCGTACTATTTAAAGGTGTCAGGAAAACTATGCTATTATAGCATCCCATCTGCCAACAAAAATCCATTTTCTTAAGAATCGAAAGTGTCAGGATATTGCTGAAGTTGTTGAGCTATGCTGACACTTTTAACTGCCCTGAATTTTTTTTTGTTTTTAAATAAAGAAGCAACCTGGTTGTGCTCCCTGCTATACATTCCGTTAATCAGATACCCAAAGAACTTGTAAAATTATTTCAAAGAACAGAATGCATGTAGTAATTTAAAAGCAAACCAATGCTCAAATATCCTTCAACAACAAAAGTAATCAAGTGAAAGGGTTCAAAAGAACTGCAAGCTAACATGAAAACAGCATTGCTATCTAATAAACAAAAGAGAATCAGCACTAAGTCTAAAAGAAATTGCAGTGAATAAAGAGAAAGCCAAGCGATTGGTGCTCCAAATGCATCTTGGATTGTTTGCTACAAATCATACGGTCTAATCAGCTGCTCATTAGGTTCCACCGTTACTAGTACATTTATCTCATACCAATTTGATCCTAACACTTGTCCGCCAATATCATCAGATGGATTCCGGCCTAAAACACTGGCAGATGATGATGATGGATACCTTAGGCTGTCTGCTGAACTTTGACTCAATTATTGCGCTAATTTCTTCAGATCAACAATGTCTACTTCTTGTTGCTTCACTTTATCTTCCATTATTGAAAATACTGTCTGCTGCTCAATATTTATATGATGGCACATGCTACGACTTGGGATATCTCTCTACAAGTCAGTTGGATTGACACCTTCACTAAACAGCCGGATGTGGCCAGGTTTGTCTTGTCCAATGACTTGAGCAAATATGTCATTTCGGCCAATTGAGTCCTCAGTTTCTGGTGGAAGTTTAGCTTGCTTTTTTTTTTTTTTCATTTTACTCTAAAAGAAAAGCAAATATAGTTATTATCAGTTTCAGCATGACTTAAGTAACATAAAAACACTCTTAGTTCACTTATCAAATTCTCAACCACCACACTACTCGATGGAGTCCCGTCAGCATGGCTATAAAATTTATCAAACCTAATACATGGAGGTAATGTTCAGGTTGATCATTTTACAAAAAAGAAAGAAAAAAATAATATCACCCTTAGTTCCACATCAAACCTAAAACGTCTTTTCACTAATAAGTTTCAGATTAATGGGGTAGTAATTAGTAATTGGTAATTTTGGGATCTAGATATGAATTATAACATGTAACACTTGGTTCTAAGATAGGAAATTCTGAGCTAAGACTAACTTTTCTTTTTTCGCTTCAGAGCTTAGATAAAGTTCTGAGATTCTATCAACAACAGCTATTCCAAGCAATGCAAGCTTTTTATTTTATGAATCCTGATGCCTGCTATGATTCTACATTTTTTCAAGCTTTATTCTGATGGCCTAAGATCTAGTACTTCCCTTCAAGAGATCGCCTCATTTAGCTTTTTCAGTAATTCACAAAAACAAGTGACAGACTTGATTAAGCCTTTGGCTTCAAGCTATCCATTTGGGCAAAATTTCTTGAATGTTTGTTTCTGCTATCTATTCAGAATAGCTAGTCATACCAGTGGCAATGAAGTGTCTTAATGCCCTTTGTTGATCAAAAGTATTGTGAAGTATCTCAACATCCCAAACACATGATGACAATGTTTTGTGGGAAGAGAGAAAATTAGTGTTTCTAGCTCAATGCTTAGGATTTTCAGCATAACCATTTATTATACCTTTCTTTGACTGCAAACTAGTGCTGCATCAGGTCCATAAATGAATTATAACAGGAAGGACTCAAACTTTTCCACTTAGTGAAGACATAATATAGATCAATGATCATTAAAAGATGATTTTCACGCTCAGTTGTTTAGGGATTTGTGGTGCATTCTATAAAAAAGAAACCAACATGAGATTCATAGGCAACTATAGAATTACCTTTGCTGCCTCAATCTCAGAATCTTGCTTTTGCACATCAAAAGAGAGTGGTTGCATTTTGCAAACAAAAAACAAATCTGACTTTTCAAAGAATGCCTTGTGGTTTTCAGAATCTCCAAGAAATAACAAAAGAAGGAAAAAGAAACGAACTCTTTGCGGCCTTTTTGATTTATGCAACTCCTTGGAACAGAATGCTTGGTTTACCATATTCTATCCTAAATATTGGCAAGCAAATTAGACTTACCTGAAGGCAAGGACTTCCAAGAATCTTGTCTCAATCTGAAATAGAAATCAAAATTGTTTCTGAGATCTGTTGGCAAATGTTAAACATGGTACTTATTTTGTTGCATGAACCTCACAGGTCACAATTAACGACTTACTCCTGTCTCATCTTTTACTTCTCTAATAGCAGTTGCTGAAATATCCTCACCCTGTCAACGCATAGAGAAAAGTATCTATACTTGTGCTTAAACCAACTGTTCTAGAGTCAATCAAATATATAGAAACATACTGCACCTCATTTACTACACCAGTTGGCAGCTTCCAAACTCCTGTAGGAGAAGCTAAGCTAGCCTGGACCTGAATAAAAAAAAATGAGAATGCCAAATAATTAATTTCTCATTCCCATCATTCAGAAAAATCTGCACGTAGCACAAGAAATACTCATGAAAGAGGTTGCATTACCTGCCATGAATCATAGGCAGCATTAAGAATAAAAAGAGGAGTTTTTACGTTGTCAATCAGGTTCTGAGGGAAAAAGCACTGAAAAAGAAAATGAAATCAACTGTGAACTTGGAAACATGAAAATTCTCTAATACAACAGCATTGCAGCAATTGTGGCAGTAAAGATGAAAAAGACTTACTGAAGTTGGATCCCGATATCTAGTACACGTACTTGGCAGGTTCTTGGCAACACCCTGGCAATAAACGAAAGACCGTTAGCTGAGTCAGTTTAACGTGGCTGAGGGCAGTGCGAATGGCGGCGGTAGTCTTGTGGGAGCCGAACCAAGCGTCGACCTTGAGCTTCCTCTTTTCTGTGGCCTCATTGGTGATGAGCTGGAAGTCGAGATTGAGATGCTTGAAGTTGGGATTAAGCTTCCCGCGGGGTCCTTCCACCTAGATCTGCACCTCACCAAAGGTTTGCATTCTACTTGACATTTTATCGAACAAGTTATGGACAACAAATCCATAACAAAATAGTCACACTCTACAAGTATGTATTACCTCCTTTTTGATAGACTCTTCCTTCTCGGACAAAATCAACTCAATATGGCAGGGGGAAGACATGTAGGCTAGCCAAAAAGATCATACATTGAGGTTAATAGACATAATGGACAGAACAGAAAACTGAAAAAAGTCATCTATCGGACATACGGTTTATTCTTCCATGAGCACGATATGTGCGGCGTCTTTGTTTATTTGCTTGATTCACTTGAATGTGAGAAATGAAAAATGAATCCACATCCAAGCCTTTCACCTACATAGACAAACCTCTGCATTGCTTTTAGCATTCTTGAGCAAATCCAAAATGAAGCTAGCAGATTTAACAAGCCAGCGACCCTGTCCATTTGAATGCCTATTCTTGGCCTAAGCAGTACGCCCAACACCTCCACAGAGAGAGGGGGAAGGGTGGCTGGAAATGGTGAAGCTGGAAAATGAATATTTTGGGTAAGTGTTTTGACTAAGTGTTTTGGCCGGTAGAATGAAAATTTTGAGTGTTTTAGAGCAAATGAATCTTCCGCCAAAATCAAACGATGCTGTTTTGTGTCTTTCTTTTTTTTGGTACATCTCACATTTTCTCAAGTGTCATGTTAGGTAGTCTAAAGGCACATTATTATTTTTATATCTGATAAAATAAAAAAATAGAGTATATATTATTGAATTGCTAATAACTGTCATGATAGGAGTGCTATAATGATACAAACTAACAAGTGTCCTTATAGGCATGTCAGGAAAGGCCATTTTTGTTGTAGTGACTAGTCAATCTAAAAAATCTGAATTCCATGAAAAAAAATGATCATTATGACAGCATTTCCTTGTTGTTGCAGAAACAATATTATGATAGCACTTTACATAATCAAATAGAATAAACATTATTTTTAAAAACAACAAGTGTAGCAATACCTTATTTTTTCAAAATTTTATTAACTCTATTCATTGTTTTTACTTTGTTATGTATCCTTGTTGTTTGGTTAAAAGTCTAATAGATTGAGGCAAATATATACAAAAGTGAACATTAATCCAACAAAAAAATTTTAAGAATAACAAACTAAATATAAATTTTTCTAGCTTTTACCAATTTGATATTTTTGTATAGTAGAAACCATAGAGAAGACGTATATTTTTTTAGAAATAAAAGGAATATTATAGTAAGTTATAAATAATTGCATAAATAAAAGGATAATGATGTCTTTGCACTCAATTTTTTTTTTTGGCATTTGTAACTTCAGCTAGTCTTAGTGAAGGGTAAAGTATATAACTTTAAGGTTGAGAGTGATAAAGTATTACTACCTCTACCTCTCATTTGGTATGCTGGAAAGGTCTCCTTTCCAACTCTTTTTTTTAAGGTAAGGCCTTTCCAACTTATTCATTTTATTTCAATGTCTGGTATGTAGTTTTTTTTGTTGGAAAGTCCTTTCATCCTGGAGCGTCAATTCTAACTCGTTCTTGCAATCCTATTCCTCACAAAAATTCAAGGAAAGATCATTCCAACTCTATCCAGGAAATATCTAAATTGTAGCAAGAAACACCAAAATTGTAAGGGTCAAGTTTACTCTTCCATACTTCTCTATTTTCTATATACCTATCAGATGTTAGATCATTTATGAATTAATAATGTCTGTTACTTTTTAGTCATAAATAATTCTAGTTCTATTAATTAATAACATTTTTGTTTCTTTTTATTATCAAATAATATATTTAATTAAAAAATTTTAACATCTTTTTGTTTACAAAATTGGATTATTTGATGATATTTGACATTTCAAAAGAAGTAATAACATGCCAATTCATATGCACTCTAAAAAAATAAAGAAGGAAAAAGTGCTGCTACATCGTTTGCTAAATTTTTTGTTTATAAATAGTTCTAAGGATAGGATTGAAGCAAATCAAGGGGAGATTGAAATTGACCTGTATGCAATTTGAATATTTAAATTGGCTAAATTACTATTCAACTGTTGCAATTTTATGTTATTAAAAATTTATTTTTATTATTATTAAGTCATATTTCTCTAAATCAAATATCTATTGAATGTGTTCTTATTTAGTAGTGTAGTTGCAAATCAAACTCAAAAAAACTAGCCATTCACTTTAGGTTTCTAGAGTCAAACATAATGAAAGTAGAAATGTTTTATGTCATATTTAGGGCAATTAAGTCAACATAATAATTTTTTATTCTATTTTGCTTTCTCAATGTAATTATATCAAATGTTAAAAAAAATACACATTCCATTCTAACTTTGATCAACTAACATTGGAATGATAAATAGTTTCCTGCCTATTCTAGCAAGTGGAAGGACCTTTCCATTTTGGATGATTCCTACATACCAATCAGGGATAAAGAATAAGAGGGGCAAAATGTCATTAACCCTACAAATTATGATACACATGAGTAGCAAATAAGCATACTGTAGGAATATAAACCAAGTCTAGGGGAATAGTTTATCAGTTCAGGAAACTTTATGTTTTGTTATTCAGTTTTAGTTTGGGATTACTAATATGATATAGTAATTTATTCCTAGTAGGTTTTTGTCAGTGGAAGGTCTATACAAAGACCTCTCCAGTTTGCATGTAAAATGTTGTGAGAGAAAACATTCAGATAATAAAAAGGGCCTCCTAGCTCCGTTTCTTCTGTTTCATTTTCTGCCCTCGGGTTTTCTTTTGTCCTTTCTTGCTTGAGCCTTTTTTTATCCATCTTCTGATGTAGCATCATGCATCATGAATTCATCATATTGAGGATTGTTTGATTACAAATCTTTTAAGGGCCTACATCGTGGTATCCAAAGTAATGTTTATTGGAAAATATGCTTGCGCCAACTGCATCAATTGTGCTAACTAATTTTACATGTAGTGCCAAAACTCACAAGGAGAAAAGATTACAATTTTTGGAGAACTCAGATGGAAACCCATCTTGATGTATATAATTTTCTTCATTTTGTTCAACAAGAAAATGCTACAGATGAAGATGCAAATGCCAAGAGGCAAGAAAGTATGGCGTTGTCTTAAATCCATCATGCAATTGATACTTCAATTTTTGGAAAAATTGCTAATGCCAAGACTGAAATACAGGCATAGGATATTTTGGGAAAAACATACAAAGGAGTTGATAGAGTCCAAAAAAATAATCTACTCATGTTAAAGAGGAAATTTGAGCTGATCACCATGAAAAAATCAGAAATCATTGAATCATATTTTTCCAAGTTGATTGACATAAAAAATGAGATGGAACTCAATGGTCATGATCTAAGTGATGAGGTACTACTAGAAAAATCCCTCAATACTTTATCCATGAAATTTGATCATGTGGTGGCTGTGATTCACGAGACAAAAGATCATTCAACCATGATCATTGAAGAACTGCAGGATACGTTAATTCTACATGAATAAAGAATTAACAAAAAACTAAAAGATGATGCTGAAAAAGAAATGGTGGAGAAGGCGTGGTAGGCACAGACAAATATATCCAAGGAGAAGGGCAATGATTCAAATCAGCAAAACCAAAATTTCAGAGATAGAGGACGAGGCCATCGTAGAGGTAATTTTAGAGTTTGAGACAAAGGTAATTTTTACCACCAAAGAGGTAACAATTATCTCAATAATGAGTAAGATAATAATCAATAACACCTCTTTACTATAAAGTATGAGTAAACATTACTTTGCATTTAAAACTCTTTTCATTACTTTTGGTTTCACAAGAAAGCTCGATTTCTTCCCTAACTTTCCTGTCTTGACCGATTCTAACAGGTGTGACAATTTACTAACTACTTCAAGAGAAATATTAATAAGTTTTGCTTTGCTAACGGAGATGATAACAATTTGATCTCCTATGTATTTCTATTTACTCCTCCTCTTGTCAAGTTAAAAAATTAACGAAGCGAGTTTCATAGTCCAACATCTTTTATTGTTACAAAGAGTTGATTATTCTGGTCCAACATATATATCCTTGTTTTATCTTGAATTTGGCAGGTATAATACGCTGGTTTGTTATATTTGTAATCATATAAATTTCCAGGGAGAAAAAAAGATTCCTACAGCATGATAGTCCTTTCTTCTTGCCTCATTTTATTATCTAAAGCTTCTATCATCACAACTCAATGAGCTATAGGTATCATTGTGTATCTACTTGCTACACACCATCATATGAATGCTCAAACAATTAATTCTTAGGTGATAAAGAAAAAAAAAGAAACAACAATGTGAACTTCGAATTCTTCGAATATGATAACATTCTAGAAGAGCAGTTAGAGTCTTGTTTTTTGTGTGTTTGCGTGTGCATTTTGGTGGTGAGGGTGGGTGGTTACAAGATACATTAATTAGATACAACTTATCTCCAAGCGTGAGGAAGTTCTTTATTCTGATGTTATTCTTCAATAAAATTGCAACTGGTGTGTATTGATTCTTTCTTTTTCTTTAAAAAATATCTGTCTTCATATTATTGCTTCATAATTTGTTAATCCCAATTAATTTTTGGGCAATTGGGAGTTTATAATTTCTAATACTAAGCCCAAGGCTTCAATTTTTCTGTCCAAGCTCAGAAGCTTTAGAGCAAGAAGCCATAAGCTTTTCCTCTGTACATCTAGAATTAGCTGAGACAAGAACTGCCTTAAAATATATGCATAATTCAAGCAGTTGAAAAGGACAAAAAGAATGGCAAAGATGTGGAACGTACGGCAGGTAAACTTCATTATATATGATTAGTATTACCTACTTTTCTGGGTTAATTACCATTGTTATCCCCTTCCTTTTGGTACAATATCCTAATTCAATTGGCTTGACTAAGGATGGCAAGCCACCCACCCCGCGGGGGGCTAATGGAGCGGGGGCAGGGGGAATTTTTTCTCCCCCGCTTAGAAACAGGGCAGGAAAGTGAGGGAAGAAATCGAGCTTTCTTGTGAAACCAAAAGTAGTGAAAAGAGTTTTAAATCCAAAGCAATGTTTACTTATACTTCATAGTAAAGAGGTGTTATTGATTACTTATGAGTTAGACCCAATTTTGCCAGGAAAGGTAGTATCTCTTTTGCAGGAATTCGAGGATATATTTCCTGAGGAGATACCTAGTGGATTGCCACAAGTTCAAGGGATCGAGCACCAAATTTACTTTATCCCTAGAGTAGCCATTCCCAACAGACCAGCCTACAAGAGCAACCCTGAGGAGACAAAGGAGCTTCAATCCCAAAGCTGAGTTGTTGACCAAAGGTTGGGTGAGGAAGAGTTTGAACACGTGTGCATTGCCAATTATTCTAGTGCCGAAGAAAGACAAGTCATGGAGAATATGCACCGACTATCAAGCACTCAATATTGTAATGGTAAAGTATCGTCACTCTATCCCTAGGTTAGGCAATATGAACTGCATGGTGTAATAGTGTTCTCTAAGATAAATTTAAAGAGCGGTTATCATCAGATTAGGATTAAAGAAGGAGATGAGTGGAAGACCACATTTAAGGCTAAGTATGACCTATATGAGTGGTTAGTTAT